ATACACACATACATACATATCTACAAATAAACATATATATATAAATAAATATATCTATCTACAATAACAACTACCCATATATACATGCATACATAAAAATACAACAACATTCAACCAAATACATATCTAAACGAACTAACATATAGATACATAAATATACCTTCAAACACCAACACACAGCAATATACATATAGTCTAACATACAAATATATAAACACATTCATACAAACAGAAATATACTTAAATATAAATACACATACACAATAAAATAGGACATACAGATATATATATATATATGCACACACGCATATATATATATATATATACACACATACATACACACATACACATACACATACATATATTTATACATATATATCGTGGCACAAAGCCGAAATTAGGGGTACCTAGTGAGGAACGAACTCATTCCTCAGTCGCACCTAATCTAGCGAACCATGCTAGCCAACCATTATACTGCCGTGATTTTATCATACATATACATGTACATACTCATACATATACACATACACACACATACATACATATACACACATACATACATATATATATATATATATATATATATATATATATATATATCCAACCACATACACACACATACATATATATATATATACATATATATATACAAACATATATATATATATTTACATACATACATACATACATACATACATACATATACACACATACACACACAAATACATACATATACACACACCCATACACACATACATATATAGGCACACACATACACATATACAGCAACAATTATTAACCTTTTCTCTTATAATCTACTTTACCTTCCCACATAATATATATATATATACACACACACTCACATATATATACATACATACACACCCCACACATACACCCACACATATAAAAAAAAAAAAAAAAACCATAAATACATTTATACACCAACCTACACATTCCTCAGTGCAAATACCCTAACCAACACAAAAATAAATATATACACATTTACACCAACACTAATAACACTATGCAGGTAAACAATACACACTTATATCGTAAGTATGACCATCATGCAATAAAAATACTAATCTATTAAAAATACAGCGACATATCATTATCATTTAAAGTATACGACCCCTACACTAAGTTAAATTTATAACGGTGTTTACAATTTACTGTAAGTTCATATCTTTGATTTAAGAGATCAGCCTTGTTTTTAAATCTAATAATTTCAAATTTTTCATTAAGGCATAGGTAACATGGGGTATATAGGGAGTTACATGTACGAGCTTTCTTAACCAAACTCCATTTAATCGTAGGTGTTTTGTTCTTATCTTTTAGATTCCAAAAATACTTGGATAATGAAGTCATGTACCTATATTCACTGTGATTAAAGGATTGCATATGCCCCCGCCAGCGTTCCTTGAATGTTTTCATAGTAGAACCAATGTAAAACTTCTTTATATTTAAAAACGGAAAAGAAAGGGAAAAAGAGAAAAATATATATACATGTATTATCAAATGACCGGATGTATTATAGCGTCTTGTCTTGTCGAACGTAATTTCAATGAAGAAATGAATTGAATAAACATATATATTTTTTCTTTTCTCAATAATTTTGTAGTTTTTAAAACTTAATAGTGATTAAATTGGATTTTTAAAAATTGCCAGTTTTTAATTTTAATATTAAATTTTATCATGTAAATTTATAATTATTAGTTAGTATAAATTAATTTTAATATTACACGTATTTAAAGATCTGAATAGCTATTAGAGCAGGATTTCGTTGTCAAGCTTTTGAATCTTTCTATACTTCGTTTTTGATTGGTTATTCTAGCTTTTGTAACAATGTTTCCCCCTAGTGTAGGATCGTTAATTAATCTGAAAATTCCGTGTATACCAATTATATACTTTGATATATATATATATATATATATATATATATATATATATATATATATTAGGGTAGATTGTTATCGCACATTGAACAGTAGTGCTAATAAAATAGTGCTCGCTTTAGCATAGAGCTATAATTTATATATTAATAATAAATATACATTTTTCCTCACCGGTAGCTAAATGATTTAGTTAGGATCAGTTATCAAACATCACCTGACGATTGCATCATGCATGAAACAATGTTGTCCTACCGGCGAGGAAAATATACTTATTATTACTATATATATATATATATATATATATATATATATATATATATATATATATATATATATCCCAGACAAAGCAATAATGCCACTAAGGCGCAAGAGACTGCTGGAAGTAAGACAGAAGAAAAAGACTTTAGAAGGAAACGGAAACCTAATCCTAAACCGGAAGCAAGGGATAAACCTCTACTCCTGTTCAAATGTTCCACGGAGGAGTGTGAACCGGACTATATATATATATATATATATATATATATATATATATATATAAAATATAAAACAAAAATTACCATTTTTGTTAAATAATTTATTGTTTAATTTATTGTAATGTACTTGTAATCTCTGATGATGGCTTATGTAAGCCGAAAGCTTAGACACAGGATTAACAATAAAAAAATATATATCAACATGGTGATTTTCTTTCGTGCTTCAGTGATAATGCTAAAAAGCTTATTCGGCAATAAGTAAATAATACATTTACTTAAAATAAATAGACAAAACTTTATAATTTAATGAAACATGCATTATATATATATATATATATATATATATATATATATATATATATATATATATATAAAATTTGCAGATTAAGCCCCGGAAATCAATTATAATGAAAATTTCGATTCTGGTGTGAAACTGCCTGATTAATTCTGAAATAACAATAAAAGTTTGCGGGAGAAAATTTAGAAGTTATCCACAATATAAGTTCGACCTTATTCACATCTAGCCCGGCTACCATCACTGGCGTTGTTTACATACGTTTCCCTCAAGTAGTAATGCGCGGAAGCTTACATAGTTAACGGCATTTTTTACTGATCTTCTTATCTTCTTACACGTCTTAATTACTGCGCAATTCGAGGCAAACGTATGTAAACAATGCCATTAATGGTGGCTGGGCTGTAACCGCGATGCGAATGAAGTCGAACTTATATTGTAGATAACTCCTAAACAGTTTATTTCCGCAAATTTTATAGTTATTTTCGAAATAAGCATGCAGTTTTAGACCAGAATGGAAATTTTCATTACAATTGGTTTCCGGGGCTTAATCTGAAAATTTACCATATATATATATATATATATATATATATATAACCCTCCATACATCTATTCATTATTAATTCATTAACCTTAGCCTTTACAGTTAGTAACTGCTATCATTACAAATTAAAAAAAACATAACTGCATAAATCTTATGTTTACCTTCCTTCGAGAAAAAGAGAAAACAAATTCTGATAGCCAAAGAAGGAACAAAAAAGCAAAATGAATTTTGATAATTGATGTATTGGTGTTTGCAAAAACAACCAATCCTATTATATGTCTGTCTGGCGTTTATCTATTGGCGACCGTGATAATTGGACATTATATCCTAGGCAAGTCGTCATTGATGTAGTTTACGTATAAAAACAGTGTTTCCAATCCTTGTTTCTAGTGCCTTTAAGCCATTTTCATATTAATAAAAAATTCTTTCCATTATTTAATAGAAACATGGTTGCCCAAACGATGCCAGTCTTATCTGATCGATTTCTTGGCGTGTGTGGTGTTGAAAAGCCTAACGACTCCGATAACATGATTGAAATGCATGCCTGTGAAGTCAAAGCTGTTTTTGGCTGGCTTCCCTATTGTAAATGTTTCAAAAGATTTTCTTACAGTCGACTTTTTCAGCAACTCACTGAATTTACAATTCACGATGTATTACCGTATATTATGCAAAAAATAGCGGGTCGCACTATATAGAGGTAAATTTTAAATAGTTTAAAAATCATTCATTTTCTGTGAGTAGTTGCAGTTATACACAGGTAATATTTATCTGAAGGGGTTAAAATTCATGCCAAAAATTTCAGAGTTCGCACTATAGATGAAGCCGACTTATACGAGATACTGTATTTTTCTTTTTCTTTTAAATGCTACATCTCCTCAATGGCTCTCCATAACTTCATATCCTCTGTAACTCTTTGCAATGTTTATTTTTTTCTTTTTCTTTTTACTATGCTTTACAAACCCTATTCTGCCATCCATTTTCCAAAACTTTGTTAGGTAGGTTGCTCGCTGTGTCCCAGTGCCCGCTGCTTCCAGTATGCTTTTTGAATATCAAATTATCCAAACCCTCATTACTTGTCCTAGAAACTTCCATAGTATATTTTGATTGATCGATTTGTTTTTTACGGTTTATCAACCCTTGGCGGGGTATTTAAACTCAGAAATGATTTTTAGATTGTAATAATTTTTGGGTTATTCATCATGGTACTATCAGTTCCGAAAGACTATGGATCTGTGCCCAAATTTATTCCCTCTGCTGTTGATGGCGGCTCAGCATCAGTTATAGCTGTACAGGACCAAACGGAAGTGACAGTTTCGATTGCAGCGAATGTATATCAAGATACTGGTGTCGTCGTGTTGTTTTCTTTCCTTCGAGCATGCTTCCCCCGGCGGCAAACCTTCGTTTCTTCTCTCCTCATCCCAACTCTCGATTTAAAGCATCTGTCCAGCGTGAGTGATCGCTGGCCATGTCTTTACAGCTCTTGATGTCCGGATCCATCGCCCTCATGTTCTTTTTACAGACGTCTTTGAAGCGAAGATGTGGTAGCTTTCTTGCCGGTGGCCAGTTTCTCTTACAGAAGGATATTCGGAATCCTCCCAACATTTGACTGCTGCTTCATGTGTTTTACCATCACAGTGAGACGACGCTGTTTGTATTAATGTGTAATTAAACATTGTCTTCATCCCTATAAATACCTGCTTTAAATAAAAGTATCTTGAGTAATACATTCGCGTGGCAGTCATGGGGTGGGCACCTGATAGCGTTTAGGACCCGCTGTAGTCCAGCAATAGCTTACAGCAATATCACGTTGAAACATCGTTCTCAGCCGACCACCGAAGTTAAGCTACGCCGAGTCTGTTCAGTACCTACATGGGTGACCGCTTGGAAATACCAGGTGCTGTAAGCTCGGATGTAAAGCTGGTATAATGGCTAACGGTTCAGAATTGGAAATCAGAGTGCCGAGTTCCAATTCCAGTCGGGTTCGTTATATGTACTTACATGCAAATACCCTTAGGAAAAGTATGAATTCACCTTTTCTCTCCACCCAGCTATGGGTTACTTACTTGTATCAGTAAATCATTTTGATCTACAAAAAAAATCATTTCAATCAATTTAAATACGATTTGAAATACAGCTTATTGGAAATAATATTTACTTATGTACAAATACTCTTGGAAAAGGTATGAATCCACCTCTTTTCCTCCTCGGTTATGGGTTAAATAGTATGTGCTGTATCTGTAAAAATCCTTATCTCTAAGAAATTCTGGCAATCCAAAAAAATTTCGCTCTTTAAATAAACTTCAAAAGGTTAACAGGCCATAAAACAAGCCGTAAAAATCAATCAATTGATCAAATTGGATTATGTCAGGCGAACATGGTGGCTAAACCATTCATTGGATGAACCTAGAATTCCTGCCAAATTCCTGGCAACCAACTAGGGTTTGATCTATCATGCTGAAATAACCCATCGTAGTTAGGGTAAATGGGGACCATGAATAGGTGGAAGTGGCTAGGAAGTAGTGCAACTTAGAGTTTAATAGTCAGTGACGTGTTTAGGAAGATCAGCGGGTCCAACTCATGCAACGTGAATATACGCCATATATTTATTACCTTTTACTGAAATTTTTTTTTTGGGACCAAAGTCTTTTGGGATAGGACTTAGATTTATAACCTTTCTTATGCTATTTGGTCGAGTTTTTTTTTAAATTGTCGCATTCTCTTGGATTTCCTGGACGTCTTGAAATCTTGTTCCTTTCAAGTAGAATTTAATTTTTGAAAAGAAGAAAAAAGTCGCAAGGAGAAATATGGGGGTTGACGGACCTGGGGAATGTTGTCCTTGGGCCATAACTGCTGTACAAGGCATGGTCACTGGTGGAATTTCTGTGGTGTGGTGAGACGACCACACTCTACACAGTTTCCTTCCAATCACTGCTATAAACAGCGGAATTGAGCGAGAACGTTATAACTTAGTATGCATGAGCAACAATGTTTAATCCGACGGTTTGATGACTCGGGAATCGAAACAAATCGTCGGGTGAAGCTGACTAGTCGGTGAAAACTAACAAATCTCGACAAACATGGAAAATGTGCCCGCAATAAGACAGAATCTAAAAAGGACAATTTTTCCCATGACACCGCTTTTTTAAATCCCTTAATCTTCGTCAGTGTTTACCATTTTAAAAAGCGATGATTAGAACTGTAGTAAAACCTAAACATATAATGAAATTGAATTTATACAATTTTTTTTGTTCTTGAGAATTAACAACGAGAATATTAAACGCTAATTATTTATTAGATTGTTTATTTAAAATAATAATTTTATATTTTACATTCTAAAAACTAACAGAATTAAATTTAATGAATGCAATATTTATCATTTACCAGTTTATAAAGAAATAATTACAGAAAAAAATATTTATAAATATTTACTAAATTATTAAAATACTAGCTTAAAAGCCGCCCTATCGAGCGGCATTTAAGCTAGCTCCTGCAGAGGGTTCTTATTTGGGCCTTCATCACAATAGATAGGGAGGAATAGATGCGATAGACAACAATAAACTACAGAAGAACTCAAAATTCGTCGCTGCATTTAAGCATTGCATTAACATTTACGCTTACCTTTTAAAAGTTCAACGATAATTCTTCTGCCGCTGCTTAACTTAAAGAAAATGATGTACGTAGGTTCTTACTTTCTGTACAAACCATTTTTTTTATTTCATGGGTGACTTTCGCTGTATTCACAATTAGTTTCGATTATTCCCAAATTTATTTCCAAGTTATAAAAATTGTTATCGTACAAAAAAAATTCGTCGCGAATATCACGTAAAAAATCACCGAAAACAATTGCTGTAATGAAAACATGGGAATCCAAAATTTAAAGATTGGGGTTCCGGGTCCAGCCCGGAATGTTTTTAATTTGCCCACGAAGTCGGCCTGATTCAAAATGGTATATGTTTGTTTACGGCTTCTAGGACTAAGTTAAAAACACGGATAATTTTATTTTGAAACACTGTACTTTGAGAACAGTATTTTTTCATTTGAACATGAGCTAGTAAAAGGTAAAGAGTTATGTCCCTTTAATTGTTTTTATCAGTAGAAGCCAATATGGTGAAATCCGAAAACGATCGCAGTAATGACAAATTAGGAATTCAAAATTTCAGGATTGAAATCCGAACCGGAATATTTTTAAATTGTTCACGAATTCGGCCTGATTCCAAAATGGTATAATATGTCGGGCCACGGCCTCTAGCAGTAAAGTTGAAAAGGTGTGATACAGTGACATGCTAACATTTATTATATATAATAAACTATCAGGAAATCCTTATTATTTACCATTTTATAAAGTTCGAATCAGTTGGCAATTAACCGATGTTTTGCCAACCATTACAATAACTCGCATAATAAATAAATAGTGTAAATAATATTTATTATTTTTGTTGTAAATTCTCAAGAACAAAAAAGTATAAATTCACTTTCATATGTTTAAGTTTTATCACAATTCTAATCATCCCTTTTTAAATCAATATACATTTTTGAAGAATAACGGTAATTAAAATAAGAGCAGTGTCAAGCGAAAAACCGTCCTTTTGATACTACGACTTATTTGTCCATTTCCAAACCTCATGCATTGAAATCACTAAAAATTAAAAACCTATACTGTTAGGCATTAAGGTCTTCCTCTGATTTTCGAATTGACAGGGCGTGTCTGTTACCCGACTTTAATGAATGTAGACGCCAACAAGTATACACTAATTCTGTATTAATTCATATTACTCTTTATTTACCATATATTTCCACGTATAAGGCGACCTTTAGGTAAAACATATAGCAAATTTTCATTAATTTTCCCTATATCTGTAGTATAAGATGATGATGTTATTGGAAATGTTGTTACTGTATCCTTAGAAATTCAAAATAAACGAAATAACAAATACGACCCTATATCATATTTTTCCTACGCACATCCCTTAAAAAGGAAACCATTGTTTTGTTTACGTTTTATCGCGTGATATCTTGTGAATGCTGATTCTTCTTCTTCCTCTTCTTTTCCTATATCTAAAGAAGTACAAACAGCCATTTACTTATACTTCATCGACAATCACAAAATACCGCTAATAACAGTACGATAAAAGTACACACCATTGTTGTGAACGCAAGTTATGCCAGTAATATATAATGTACAAATAGTTTTATTACTTTTATTAGTTTATTTGATAATGCGAACTTTTTCATGTATGTTATTGGTTATTGCACAGCGGCCGAGGTTAGCCTACTAACAAACATCACTCAGAATTTAAGGTTTCTTTTTTAGAATTGTAATATAAAACGACCCTCAATTTTTAAGGATTAGTTTTGGGATTTAAAAGTCGTCTTATACGCGAAAATATACGGTGTTTATTTTAATATTTATATTGTAGAGATACAAAAGGCGACTATCTCCCTTTGGTCAAGATAGTTCACGTGACTACCACTTAGTGACTTCACTCTATCGTGAGGAAAGTAGCAATCTTTTAGTCATCTTCCAGGAGTCAAACTGAAAAATCGCTTTTTTCTTTTTCTAGAGCCTGGGCTGAGGTTAAATCTGTCCCCTATAGACACGTTGTGGCGCCTATGGCGCCGTTTTCCTATGGACGTAGAAAATATCTCCGGCATGTAGTCCTCAATTTGTGAAATACCCAGGACTCACCATTTATGAATATGTTCTCGATAGCGACATAGCAGATAAATCCGCCCTGCTCGAATCTGGAATCCTAAATATGGTTTCTCCAGAAACACAGAAGAATCTCCGGCAGACCCAATTCTCGGTGAAAATTATTAAACTTAAGACTCTTTTTTCGTTACATTTTCACTCTGCTTGTTGTGTAGATATGTGTTATATTTTATCTAAGTGGGATACAATTAAATATTTATATATAATTTTGTGTATGACTTAGAGGTCTCTGAGAACAAAGCGTGTTTGTCATTCACTTTCCTTTTAGCCATTCAGTTCCGTCCGTGAAATAAGGTGTTATCATGGATATAATAATGCCCATAACATGGGAAACACAAATATTTTAATAATTTGAGAATTTTATTTGGAGAAAATTAGTATATTGAAATAAATATAAGTTTGAGGACATTTTTCAAAAGTTTTAGTATTGAAATGTAAGTGTAAGAAATATTAATGTAATTTTAAATGATGCGCGTCTGAAGTCAAAGCAGTTAAAGATTTTTGTTTCGCCACTCTTTTTGTGAATTTGGAAGCTAATTAGAGGAAATTTTTCTTAGTCAGAAAATTATTCTTGGTCGAGAGAGACGTTTTGTTTTCTGGTTCCGTGGTTTACCACGGAGCCAGAAAATTGTTATAGGTTACCAGGTACTAATGTTTTAGGTTACCAGGTAAAATTACCGTTACCTTAAAAAAATGTTCGACTTACAGTATCGAATTTATTATATAATCATTTTCTTAGATAGACTTTAATTTTAGAAATATAATTTGCTGTCTATCGAATTTTATTTGAGAATGGGAGTAAGGGAGTGTAGATTCTTTCGTGTCGGGTGATTTTGGTAGAAAGATTTTTTATTAGTTTCGGATTTGTTTAATATAACTTGAGTAAAGTTATGTTTTGACTTATAAAGCCTATAGACAGAAACGTTCTTTGTTAAAGAAAGCAAGTAGTGTATTTACCGCTTATAAGTTAAGAGTTTTATTCCAAGTTAGTCTAAAGAAGTGATTCGACTACTGGAAGAGGTGAATTTATTCCTAAGAAGAGGAATTGTTACCTTTGATTAATATTGTTGGCTCGCAGAGTTAACGTTTTAATAAACCAAAGTCATTCGATGCGAAAGGTTTTGCCTTATTCTTGTTCTTAATTTAAAGTTAGTTTTTTAAGTAGTTAAAGAAGATATTTATTATAAGTAGACA